CCCACTCCGGCGTTACCCCACGCGGGGAGCTGCAGCTAAGGGAAGTGGGGAGAGGGTGCTCCAGTTCCCTGGGAAGATGTGTGGGGAGGCTGTCTCTAATATTCCCGTTGGGCGTTCACCTTTGTTCCACGTGGGACGGCTCCTTGGGACGTGGTTATGCCCAAAGCAGGGCCCGGCACGCCATGCCCGAGAGCACACTTTGAGATCCAGAGGGGCTACAGGAGGCCAAGTGTTTTCCCTCTGTCCGGCTGCCCCTCGTGACAATGCCCTTTGCGACCAAGAGTGTGGCCTGTCAGTAACTTAGCTCCACGCCGCAAACATCCCGAAAAAGCCAGTGGGGGGAGGGGAAACAACGTCTCCACATCTAGCCCTTGTCTCCCTTCATCGCTCGGTGCCACCGGAGGGGGGGGTGTAGCTGGCCAAACCGCCTTTACAACAGTGTCCATGGAGCCAACATCCCTTATGAAAACAGCTGAGCCGCACCCCCGGATATAGGCCTGGCTGGTCCGGGTTGCCCTGAGGACTTGTTCCCTGGTCTTGCTCAGGAGTGGATGGTCAGCTGCTAGCTCAGCTGCACCCGAGGCTGCCTGTGGAACAGGAGTGCCGTCTTGGAGCAGGAGCAGTTCCGTTCTGCAATGAGACAGCTGCTCCTAGGCTCAGGCCCTGTCAGCACCAGGCTCCACGGTTATTTCTATGGCCCCAGAGGTGTGCGTGGGGCTATGCAGGTGGAGAAGAGATTATAGGAGAAATCTCGTCTCTGCCTCCTAAGGAGGTTAGTCTAAACCTGCCCCTTGCCTTCCTTCCCCATTGCAGCCCAAGGAGCAATTGCCCCTTCATTATGCAGCTCTCCGTCCCGTCGGGGCCGTCGGTGTGATGCAGCTGCTGCTGAAGGCTTCTCACAAAGATGCTCGATTGAGCCAAGACAAGGTGAGCAGGGCCTCTCCGTATATGTTGTGTGGGTAGAAAATTCTCACGCCACAGGCCCGGCTTAGAGGCCAGATGTAGCACTAAGTGAATGCCGCGGGCTGCGGGGCTGGACTGGGGCAGCCTGAACCGTGTCTCCAACTTCATACCCGAGGCTTCTGTTCGCGTGTAAGCTCCTCTGAGGCATTGGTTCTTTTCTGCCCTCTCTGCAGGATGGCCGCACACCTCTCTTTCTTGCGGTGGAAGCTGGGAATCTGGGAGTCTGCAGGGAATTGCTTTCCACACACGCCACGGCCCAGCTGAGCGCACGGGAAAAGGTACAGGATGCATGCCCATCCCACCGCTGACACCATAGCATGTCCTCCAGGCACTTCGTTTTGTGTCTTCCCCACTGCTGCATCACCAGGGGCTGGAGATCAAACTCTGTCTAAGAGCTGGCCCGAGTCCTACCAATTCACTCTCCATCCGCCACCCACCAGCCTTGCAATGGATGCAGCTGGGGCCAGAGTCTCTGCTGGTGGAAATCAATGTAACCCCACTGACACCAGCAGAACAACGCTGATTTACACCAGCTGGCCCATACAATCTGTGTGAGGAACTAAACCCCTCAGCATGTTGGGTGCATGTTTCTTTCCTGCTCCTGGGCCCCCTCTGGTAGTTCTGAAGAATCCACTAACAAACCAACTCTGTTCCCAGGGTTCGGGTGCGGACAGACCTGTGAGTAGACAGGGAAAAGAGCTTGTGTTCATTCGGGGCCCCATTCAGGGGGGAACTGGTGTTTGCCAAATAGAAACATTTAAGGGGCTAATGGGGGATTAAAGTTTATTTTCTTTGTGTTAAACAATACAGTGGAGAGCAGAAAGAAAACTTTTGGGGGAAAGAGCCCCCCAACTTAGCAGAACTACTAAGTGCCTTGGGGTATGTCTACACTGCAGCTTTTCTGAACTTACATCCACGCTGTAATCGTGTTCTTTCGAAAAAAAATCAAAAGAACAGAGGGTTTTTTCTGACATTGGTAAACCTCTTTCTACGAGGAAGAAGCCTTGTTCCGAAAGAGCTCTTTCAGAAAATGGCATGCGAGGACGGGGTAGAGGGAGATCTTTCGAAAGAAGAGGAAAGAGGAAAAAGCATAGGTGCCCTGGTGGTCGCTCCATCCATAGTAATCACAGCTGACATGCGAGATAGCGTCCATTCAGTGTGGACGCTCTTTCAAAAAAGCAGATTGTTTTCTCGATGCGCTTTTGCTGTGTAGATGCTGTGTTTCAGAAGACGTTTTTTCGGAAGATCCCTTCCGGAAAAGCTTCTTCTGAAAGAAGCCTGCAGTCTCGACATAGCCGGAGTGTCAAAGTGCCCCAGGCCGAGATGACGGATAGGGTTGTGGGGAGGATGGAAATGGAATAGCAGAGGAGTTGCAGTCACGCGGGGCTGTGTGCGGAGACTTGCTGTCTGGAGGCGGTGGAGGGGCTGAAAGTTAGGAGTAAGATGCATTGGTGGAACTGTGGCTGCATGAAGCTTGCACAATGCCTGTTCTCAGAGACAGGCTGTGCCCTTTGATTGCCCAGAACAAGACAACCCTTCAATATTCTGCACTGGATACTAAGTAGTTATCCAAAATGAAAATCTGTGCCATAGTGGATTAATACACAGATCCATGGGGTTTGTCCACCGGGTTCCAGCAAATTTGGGGGTCCCAGAAATGCCAGAACATATGAGAGGGAGGGTCACTACTGCCAGAACTGTGGCCCTGCCACGGCTCCTCCTCTTCCTCCTGAAGCCCCACCTCCTGCTCCTCCTCTTCCTCTTGAGGCCCCACCTCCTGCTCCTCCTCTTCCTCTTGAGGCCCCACCCCCTGGCCATGCTGAAAGCCAAGGCTGAGCCCTGATAAGAATCACCCAGGAAGCTTGAGTTGCTGTAGGAAGCCCTGGACCCTCCACCTGCCCAGGGTGGGGTGCTGGGATGCCCAACAGCAGGCCCCAGTCTACGTGACCCATTAGGGCACACCACCCTTGGTTGGTGGAGGCTTCCGGGCTCCCCACAGTGTCCCAGACTCCCTGGATCTCTTTTAGGGGACGGGGTTGGGGGAGTGAGGAGGATCAGGGGACACCCATTGGGAGGTGTGTGTGTGGGGGGGTAGATGTTCTTTGTGCCCTGGCCCCCAGTAAATCTCCCTCTGCCTTTGGGTGGCAGGAGTGTGAATGGAGCAATGTGAGCCCCAGATAATGGGGGACCAATATAAAAAAAATACCAAAGACAATGCTATTATTCAGTTAACCGTAGTCATCTATTCCATAGCTCCCCATTGGTCAGTGTCCCTGGGGATAGTGACTATACAGGAGTCGGTCGTACTTTTCTGCACAGTTTAAGATTGACGGACAGGCTTGTTCATTCCAGAAATACGGCGACACTGTGCTGCATGCAAGCTGTCGGAAGAGAGATGTGGAAATGGCCAAAACCCTAGTGGAGTGTGGAGCTGTGGTGGATTGTCAGAATGTGAGTATGAAATACACGAGGCGTAGTATTGTGAGCACAGGTCTGGCCTTGCTATCATTGGAGCTGAGCAGACAGCTGGGAAAAGTCCTCCCAAATCTGATCAACTGAAAAAAACAAATGTTGTTTCTCTCCGTCTGTGACTCCTTTGTGTTTGCTTTGTACAAATACTTGGAGTGATTAGGTTTTACTAGCAAGTTTTATGCTCAGTCCCTGAATAGTTGCCAAAAATGAATGCCAAACTATACGTTTGGCTTTAATTAGAGCTGTGAGGATAATAGATTTTTTTTCATTTCATAGGCAATTCTGAAAAACTGGGGGAGGAAATCATTTTTGGGTTGACCCAAAATAGTTTTAATGGCATTTTTCAGCAAATGGAAAAGACCAAAAGAAAAAAGAAAAAGTCTGTTTCAGATCAAACGAAATATTTTATTTTGACAAAATGGAAACATTATGTTTTAATATTTATTAAAAATATTAAAAGAAATTCTTAAATAAAAAATAATTTCAACCCCCCAAATGGAAAAGTTTCATTTTGAAAACGTCTAAAAAAATGTAGAATATTTTTGAGTGAGGCAGTTCAGTAAAATCAATACAAAGTAACAACAAGTTTCAATGTTGCCAAATCCATATTTTTTCACTGAAAAGAGCTTTCAGGCAAAAACATGTATTTGCCCATCTCTAGTAGTAATATTCAAAATCGGTGTAGTATTAGTTAGTTACACAAGTCATCCAGTCACGAAACAGAAAGAATTTCATGTGATTTATGTAACCAACCAACACAGCATGAATTTCAAAGTTTAATATTGTGAATGGTCCCTATGAGGGAAATCAAAGGAGGCATTCAAGATGGTTGTGATCTGCTAATGCAGTGTTTCCTAATTGGTGCTCCGTGGAACCCCAGGGTTCCGCAAAGCGAAAGTAAGGGTTCCGCGAGAACGTGGCATTGCCCCGCCCCCTCTTAAAAAGACAGAGTATTTTGCAGGGTTTTTTGCTCTGGTAGGGTTTTTTTTTTTTTTTTTTTTTTTTTTTTTTTCTTTTTTTTTTTTGATTTTAATCTGAAAAGGGTTCCGTGGTCAAATAAAATCAGGAAACACTGTGCTAATGAAAGCTCAAGAAGTCAGTCGTTTGTTATGAATTCTTTGCTCAGTTCTATAGCCTACAACGTTGGAGAGCCAAAGACTTTGGGTGAAGATTAGTAATTATCTAATGAAAGACCAAGACCAAAACGATTTGCTGAGTCAGTGGTCACCATATGTCATTGGAAAGCCAGTGCTCCTGTTTATATCTGAGAGGCCAAGCAGAATCTGCCTGTCCCTTCCCACCATATACTGTCCAAGTTGTAATATTAAATTAAATTCAGAATGATTATGTGTTCGTAGGCAGGGCATTCCCAAGGCTAAGTGTGTTCCAGCAACATCCTCTTGATCGCTGTGTACTTCCTGTCTATTGAATAAATAACATGGTCAATAATACTTAACATTTTACCTTTAACAAAGAAAACTGGAATAGAAGATATCCACAGTGTGGTTGCTAGACATTTCCACATTGCACTATGATTTTAATTTAATATAATATAATTTTTGAAGTCCAAAGCAATCCAGAGCTGTTGCCTGGTGGGAGCTTCTCACAAGCGCTACCAGAGGATCCTAAAATACCTGACTCTAAGGCTTACACCACAAGTTCTTCAGCTTTTTGGCCTTCTCTCCTGAGGAGTTTTTAAACTGTGAAGGCTCCTAGGCTTGCAGCTTTAACATAGAAGTATTTGGCTCACCAAGTTTACCAGCTCAATAATAGTCTAAATTACCCTTTAAAAACCTACCCTTTGCATGACTTTAAATCTGTGCAGCTTTAATACTGAATTAATTTTCTTCACACTTATTTTCACATTTCCTTGACCATAGCTGCACTCGGTATAGAATCATAGAATCCTAGGGCAGGAAAAGACCTCAGGAGGTCATCAGATCCAACCCCCTGCCCAAAGCAGGGACAACCTCAACTCAATCATCCCAGCCAGGGCTTTGTCAAGCCAGGACTTAAAAACCTCTAGGGACGGAGTTTCCACCACCTCCCTAGGTAACCCATTCCAGTGCTTCATCACCCAACCTAGACCTCCCCCATTACAACTTGAGACCATTGTTCCTGCATCTGCCATCCGCCACCACTGAGAACAGCCTCTCTCCATCCTCTCTGAAACCTCCCTTCAGGAAATTGAAGGGTGCTATCAAATCTTCCCTCACTCTTTTCTTCTGCAGACTAAATAAGCCCAAATCCCTCAGCCTCTCCTTGTAGGTCATGTGATCCAGCCCCTAATCATTTTGGTCGCCCTCCACTGGACCCTCTCCAATGCGTCCACATTCTTTCTGTAGTGGGGGGCCCAGAACTGGACACAATGTGGCTTCACCAGTGCCGAATAAAGGGGAATAATCACTTCTCTGGATCTACTGGCAGTGCTCCTCCTAATGCAGCCTAATATATCATTAGCTTTCTTGGCTACAAGGGCACGTTGGTAGAAGTTTGTTAGCAGCACAGCAGCTGCCCAATTCCTTACCAACATGAGTAAGGAAAGCTGATGGGAATGTTTGCTCCCATCAGCCTCCTGCTGTGAGAACATCACCAAGCTCAGCTTAAGGTAAGCCACCTCCAGATACGTAGTCTGCACCGCTGGAGTTGCGTACCTTTAGGCAACCTTCCGGGTCTAGTGTTGACCTGGCCTCTCTCTAGCTACACTATGGGTTGAATTCTGCTAGCACCACCATTGTGAAAAGGGTGTTGGCAGTACAGTTTTACGTAGCAGGGTTTAGAGTCAGGGGCACAAAGTCGGGGACGGAGGCAGGCTCTGTGAGTAAAAAGAAGTGTGTAACCAGGTAGGGACTACTAACCTTTCCCCAAATGATTTGTTCTCTTCCCGGTCATCTTCTCTAATGAACCCAAAGGCACCAGAAAGAAGGAAAAACCTGTTCTCAAGAGCTGCACAACCCTTTCAAGGTCCTGTCAGGGATCGCAGAAGAAAATGATCTCTGACAAGAAGTTTATTTTCTTTCAACATATAAGGACCAACTTAAACAGTCAAATAAACACAGAAATTCTGTAGAACTGCAAGTCCCAAAGGTCCTGGGTTATTTATAAAGGACTCTTAAGTGAGTCAGGCAAAACACCAAGATAAATCTGGTCTGCTAGCATTCCAGAACCAGGGCAGACTTAGCACTAGCACTTGTCAGCTTTGTGCTGAAATATATTGAAAGGCCCATTAGTGTCCAAATCCTCTTCTTCCTTCCAGAATTTAGCAGAGTAAGGAGACTGGTTCTAAAAGGAACACATTGATTCGAAGGACAGGTGCCTGTTTTCAAACAGGCTAATTAGAAATGGTTCAGATGATCAGTAGAACAATCCCTATTGTGCTTCTTCTCTGATGATCTCTCTTTTTTGGTTTGGTTTGGTTATGTCAGGGCAATGGGATGCGTCTGGAATTTGATTGTTTCTCATAAAATGGAAAGGGAGAGGTCTGGTAGGAGGGACAGTTATACTGTAGAATGACCACAAGGAGGCAGGAAGGGGCCAGAGAAATGGACTGGAACAGCTATAACCCCATTGGGCCACAGGGCGGGGAAAGTGGTGGAGAAAGGGCAGGTATCTATTGTATATTTTAGAGAGCTTGTCTGCTTGTGTGTCTGTTTGTCTGTGTGTCTATGAACCCCTCCCCCATCTGTGCCTACTGCAGCTGCCATGGACAGGTGCTTCTCACCTATCCCCAAACTGCTGCAGTGACAGAGGGCTAGGGTTGTCCTCTCTACCTGGGGCAGCCTGCATACGAACCCCTCATTCCCAGCCCCACCCACAGAATGATGATTTAAATCCGGGGTGAGGAACCTTTTGGGTCGGGGGCCCGGCTGACCCACAGAAAAATCAGTCGGGGGTCACACACATGAGAGGGGGGAAAGATACTCCCCAAACTCCCCTTGTACACCAGAGCCTAGTAGAGCCCAGCCTAGTAGATTTTGTGTGTTCCTGCCCCACGGAGAGGCGGCGGAGGGCTGGAGAGCCAACACAGGCTCCTCAAAGCTGGGAGTGGGGTTGGATCCAGACAAGGGGAGGGCTGCATCTGGCCCCCAGGCCTTAGGTTCAACACCCCAATAATTTAAATGAAAAAATAAAAACGTATTAAGGACCCAAGCAACGCTGGGTCTAGTCATAAAGAAAGGGAGGGTGGACAAGACCTGCCGAGTCTTGTTCACCTACCTCCCCACGCAGGTTGGGGACTTGTGACCTAATTCAATACGGTTCATTGGAATGGTTTCTGAGGAGATGTAGCTTCACTAGGCCGTGCTCTGAGGTGTATGCTGGAAGCTCTAGCACCCCCACTGCCCAAGGAGAGTCTGTGTTGGCCGGAGAGGTAGGATCTTTGCAGCAAAATGCTCTGAATTCCATCCGTAATTATGAGCCAGGAAGTCCTCAGCAGGGGCCATCGATTCTGTACATAATACAAGAAAAGGAAAGAAATGGAAGGAATTAACATGAATTGGTCTCTCTCTGTGTCGCCGTGTACTGACTTTCAAGGCGTTGAGAACATGGGACATTGCCCGTGGCAGCCATGGGAGTGGGGTTAGGTAGTGGATAGTGGGTTGGTGTGCCGGGATCATCTTCTTGTTCCGTCTTCATACGCCGTGTAGCATGGCAGGGTCCTGATCTGAGAGCAAGGCTCCTAGGTGTAGTACGAATGATCAGTAATAATTCAGAGCTGATCTGTCCCTCCGAGAGAGCCTCCTCCAAAGCTCATTGAAACCAAGACATCTTTCAGTGGACTTTGGGTGAGACTCATGAAGGGCTGAGGGGTTTCTCTGCCCGAGCTGCAAATACATCCCATTTGCTGGAAAACCCGTTCTCAGGCCGCAAAGCGTGGGGGCTGGGCCTACCCAGTGCTGTGTCTCTGAAAGCTGAGCTGGCTTTGTAAGGCGGGACTTTGCTCTCCAGACTGCAGCAGCCCTGAAGCTACAGGAAGCTACACCTGGACTATCTCCAGGAGGGGTATGGTGACATTTCCTGATCTGGTCTGTTGGCTCCAGGAGGAGACGCTTTCGAGGCAGAGCAGTGATGTTTTAGTGCCACACAAGGTGGCCATCTCTGGTACCCAAATTCTCCTGCCCAGAAGGTTGTCTGTTGAGTGAATGGTGTAGCCGCTAGGCTGCTCGGTTACCCTGGTATAACCCAGGCTCTTCTAACGCCCTTTGCTTTAGGATGAAGGCCAGACTCCTCTCCATGTCGCTGTGTGGGAGGGCGATGAAGCCCTGCTGAAGTTCTTCCATCACTGCAAGGCCAATCCCGACCTAGCAGACAAGGTAAAAGGTGGTTGGCTGACTCAGGGACAGCTTACTGGGGCTCTCCAGTCCTTTCGCTTGACACGCCCACACCCAACGGAGGATTGTAGGAGATGGGTCAGTATCTTCAACCAACAGAACATACAGCATGCAGCCCTGCTCCATGAGAGCAAACGGCCATTGGCTCATCCCGAGGTGGAGACCCCTGCTGCTTAGAAATGCCAGAGAGCTGAATAGCCCTTTACAGAGCATCCTGAGGGCCCTGTTCGGGCCATATGGGGGCAGTTAGTGGAGTGACAGGACCGTGACACAATGCCACACCTGGAGGGGCATCTTTGATTACAGTGGGCCATTTGGGGGCAGCTAGTGGAGAGACAGACCCGTGACACAATGCCACACCTGGAGGGGCATCTTTGATTACAGGGCTTCTGGCAACAATGACCTGGAAACTGTGAAACATACATCTGCCCAGGAGAGCGGCAGTCCAAACCAGGAACTTCCCTCCATTCATTAAACTTCCCGGTGAAGCTGGTAAAAATGGCATGTCGTCCTCCCTTCCCCCGTCCAGACAGGTGGAAAGGAATAGGGAAGAGAAACTTCCGTGGGCCCATTCCAACCAGCCTGGGATAACAGCCTTTTCACTAAGGGCCTGTTGTTTTCACTGATGCAACTCTATGACAACTAAGAGGCACAAGCCGTTGTGCAGCCGGCTACAAACGTCACTCACTCTCGCGGTGTGGCCTGTGGTGGTGGTGGAGACAAATTTCAAGGCGGGGAATAGTGCGGGTACCAGGCAGGAGCCTTGGAGGTTGAAGTCTTCTAGCCAGTGAGCAAGTACCCCAAAGACAGCCGCCATGCCAGCTTCCCTGCCCTTCCATAGCTTCTGCTCCAGACTTACCCTGGCTGTACAAAGTGTAGCAGAGACAGAGGTTCCACGTGAACCCACCAGAGGCGGGCACTGACTCTCCAGGGATGGGGTCACCCACGGTGTTCAGCATTTGTGTCCATTTGCCTTCCCTGTCCACAGCTGGTCCAGTGGGAGGTGGCTGTGTTGCTCTAGAGGTGACCTGGGTCTGTGTTCTGGGAGGTTCGGTAAGTCACCGATGGTGATGTCGATGCATCCCAGTGTAGGCTGCATTCCGGTTAGGCTTCCGCGTCAGCTCCCTCCCTCCCGAGGCCACATTTCTCTCTTTGATGGTTGCAGATGGACAGGTCGCCCTTGCACATTGCTGCAGAAAGAGGCCACACCCACGTGGTGGAGGTGCTGACGGAGAAGTTCCACTCCAACGTGCTAGCTCGCACCAAGGTGAGTGGGGGGGAGGGGCGGGTCCATGTTTCTCTGCAAAGCAACTGAGTGTACAGGCCAGAGGGAGGACCAGGACAGACCCTTGCTGGCTTAGCTTGGAGACACACAGCCTCAGGCAGCCGGTTCTTATACAGTCGGGGGAGACCAAGCATAGAGCAAAGCAATAGGCCAGAAGCAAGTCACTTTCCCAGTCGGGGCAGAGCAAGCGCATTTCTGTGTGGGGAGCTGGTTTGTTCAAACATATTGGGGTTCTGGGCATGGGTGGTGGGTACCCTCACCTGGCCCCACCCATGTCCAGCTCTGTGGCAGCTCTCCAGAGCTCCAGGGCAGGCGGGGGCTGCACCTGTGCCAGCTCTCTGGAGCTCCGGGGCTTGGGGAGGCTAGGGGGTGCTACTCCGGGGCAGGGAGGGAGCAAGGACCAGCAGCCACATTGCGGGGGCGGGGGGGGAGAGGAGGCTAGGCAGAGGCCAGCGGGCCACAGAGTGGGGAACAAAGCATGGGCTCTGGCGGGCACGGTGGGGGGGGGGGTTGCCTTCCCAGACCATGCAGTCACCCACTGCCCATGGTTCGGGGCACAACGCTCCCCAGACTCCCGCTGGAATGCCACATGGCGACACTTCCCTTTCGTGCACCAACAGTGCAGGCTGCCCCCTGGTGCCTGGCCATTGAGCGGCGAAAAGCCCCAGTGCTGGCTCTGTCCATGGTAGCTGTGATGGGCCTGTCGCCCGCAGGCCCCCAGCCTTCATTGTAATGTCAGCCACAGGCCACACAAGGGCCCCGTACCAGCAAGAGCCCTTTTCTAGGGCACAGCGGGCAGGCGAAAGCAAGGGGGAGCAGTGGCATAGAAATCTTACACTGATGAGATGGAAGAGACGGGGCTGGGCCGTGCAGAAGCGAGTGGAAGGCAGGGTCCTGATCCGAACCACTGCCCGTGTGGGTCTTTTGCCCAGCTTCTTGCCTCACCCAGAGATGCTCGTCACTTTTACTTGCTGCCCATCTTTGCTCCTGGCAGGACGGCAGCACCCTCATGCACGTCGCCGCTGCACACGGACACCCCGACACTGCGCTGGCCTTCCTGAAGAAAGGAGTCCTGCTGCACATGCCCAATAAGGTAACCCCGCCCGGAGGGCAGGCCGGACCAGTGACAGCCGGGAGAGCTGCTCCGAAATGTCAGTGCAAAATTGGGATTGGGGGGGATGGAAAATGCCTTTTCAACCCAAACAGAAATGTCCAGGAAGAAGGCGCAGTGTTGTAGCAGCCCCAGGATATGAGAGAGACAGGAAGGGCGAGATAATATCTTTTATTGGACCAACTTCTACTGGGGAGAGAGAGACGCTTTTGAGCCGCAGAGAGCTGGTCTTCAGATCCTCATCAGCCGTGTTTCTTAAACTTTTGAAGACCGAGGAAGACCAAACAATAATTTTTTTTATTGAGGAACACCAAGGATTGTTTCAGTAGAGGGAGCCCTTCAACCCCAATTGTTTACTATTTCCCCTTGCTGTAAGAAAAAAACCAGGAGAGTTGAAGTTTTCCTCCCTGCTTTCCCACCCTCATTTTTCAAAAGGAAAAGTAAAAATTGAGATGAGGTGTATATTTCCCACCAGCCTAATAACCTGTGGTCTCATAAAACCACCCCAGACTGGAGCACGCCTGGGATAGACAAATATCAGCTCTGTGGACTGCGGGACAGGTCTCCACTCAGCTGTCACTGATTTAATTATGTGGCTTCACATGAGTCATTTAATAGCTCCCTGCCTCACTTTCCCCATCTGTGAAATGGGGATGACAACGTTTACCTTTCTCCTAGGGAAGGGGGTAAGAGACTGCTTCCAAAACATGCTGAGGTCCTTAGTTCCAAGATGCTATCGCTGTGCAACTTGGCCATGAAACTGCGTCCATTAGCCAGGCCTTAGCTGCTGCCTCGGGTTCCCAGCTGCCTTCTTCCTAGCCTCGATTTGCATCAGCTTTATTGAAACTGCATTTTCCGCCCCAATAAATCTGGCATAAAACAGCCTGATGCTGGGGAAATATATTCACCTTTGGCCACCTCTAGGGTTCAAGATGATGGAGCAGCCGCCTTGTTAGCTGCATGCCCCAGTTCCAGGGACGTTCTCTGCAATCCCAGATCCCACGGTGGGAACCTGTTGCCTCCCAAACAAAGTGATTTGGGTGGGAGGAGGAAAATGTCACTGAACATTTCAAACCCAATGACAAATGTTCACTTCTTTGTGCATTTCCCTACCTTTTTCTGAGCCGAGCATCTCCCATGCGCAAGGAGAGCACCAGGAACAATATTTCAGTTTTGCCAGAACTTGATTAGTTTAGTGAACTGGCCGACATGGTTCTCACTTCAGCACACCTTTTCATTCATGTTTTGATGACAGGCACTTTCATACCCTCCTTAGCTTGCTGTATATGAGCTGTTCTTAATGAGTCAGCGTAACCCCCCATTTTGACGTGTGTTGCGTCCCCCGCCTCATGCCTGATCCATGGCAGCTGTGAGTCTGTCACAGACCCAGCTATGCAGAGTGGCCATACCAGCTCCTATGGCACAGTTTATGCCTCTGGCTCCGGCGAAGTTCCCTGCAATCCCAGATCCCATAGTCGGGATCCGCCCCCTGCCCCTGCACACACACCCTTCAAGGTTTCAGAGTGGCTGTAGCGAGCGCGTGTTGCAAATCCACCCAGCGGCAGATATAGGGCAGGACGAGCAGGGCGGCTGCCCTGGGCCCCGCGCACACGCTACCACCTGTTGGCTGTGGCCATGGCGCATGCACGAAATTGTGCTGCCCCAGGCCCTGCGCTTCAATAGATCCTGGGCTCCGCAAAACTCATCCGCCCCTGAATCCACCGCTTGCTCTCTTTCAGAGTGGGGCGCTCTGCCTGCATGCAGCAGCCGGGAGGGGCCATGCGGCCGTGGTGAGGGCCCTGCTGCAGAGGGGGGCAGAGGTGGATGCGCGAACCAAAGAAAACTACACGGCCCTGCACATTGCTGCCCAGCGCTGCCAGCCGCAGGTGGTACAGACTCTTCTGGGCTTTGGGGCCCACGTCCAGCTCAAGGGAGGCAAGGTAGGGGTGAAACATGGGGTGTGACTTTTCCTTGCGGGCTGTGTCATCTTCGCTCCCGCCTCCACAATCAACGTCTTCCTTCCTCCCTCTGCTGTAGAGACACTCCCTGTTCCCCCCGGTACTCCCCACAGAGGGAGCCCCGACTGCCACATGAGCAGGATCTCTGTGGGCTCTGCTAGGATTTCATTCCCTGGCCCCAAGCCCTGCTGTGTCCAATTCGAAGTCGTTCTGTGCACCGGTCGGTTTTATAACACCAGGCTCCCTCTGAACCCGGTGGTTGTGGCGGTGGTGTTGCAAACGCACACCAGGGGGCGTGACAACACCACCTGCCAACAGCGTTTTCTGCACCAGGAAAGAACAGTGAGGAAATTCACCTGGGCTCCATGCTGAACTGGGGGGACGGGCTGACACGTTCTCTGGCCAGCCGGGATGTGTGAGCCCTGAACACACACAAAGGGAGACCCGTCTGAAATGGGGACACCCTGGAATGGACTGTCACTGGCTGGGGCGGGCCGGGGGAGGGGGGAAGAGTAATCAGTGTGTACCCCAATAAAGCTAAGGGGGCCTTTGTGTTGGAGATATTCCTCGTTATCTGTATGATGCGGGAAGAAATAGAAAGGCACTGTACAGATCAGTGAAGGACCACTTCTGTGGGACACAAAAGCCGCCAGCCACGATGTAAATACTTATAAGGGATGGAGGGTGTTAGCGATTGATAACCAGGAGTGATGGCAAAGCTCCTTACAGCGAGATCTAGAGGGTGTAATATATTTGCCCAAGGGAAGTGGCAGAGGCTTTATAGCCACAAATAAAAGGTAGTAAGTATAGTTGGGACAGAGAGGTGAAATGTAACTGTTATTCAGTATGGTGACACAGGGCCTAGAGGCCGGTCAGATATTCAGCGGAGAGGCCTGAAGCAGGTTGGCATGATTAGTTGGCCGAAAGAGAACCCAGTATCGGCAAAGGGTAAGATCTCAGAAGATGTGGTAAGGGCAGTCGTTCGGGACACCATGCAGCAATCACTGGACGCTGTGCCACAGTGTAGTAGGTCATACTGCCAACAGGCGTGCTGGGGTTGCGGGGGGAGGGCAAAGGGTTAGTTGCTCTGGGTCTCAGCAATTCAAAAGGCAATGGCGACATCGTAGTCCTGGGCCCTTTAAATCATCGCTGGAGCCCCCCCCACACACAGTGCTCTCCAGGCAGTGCTGAAGC